TAAATCAATGTTATGTGGCAAAAAATTCTTTTGTTTAGAAAGAAGTTGTTAATTTTCAAGTCCTTTCTTGCTCAGTCAAAACATTCAGAACACTTTCCCTACTTGTTGAAAGTAATGAGTAAAAGTGAAAAGAATATCTATGAATCTTTTAAGGAATACCAGTCGATTTTAGACTCATTAATAGAAGAATACAGCAGAAGATTCAGTGATTTTGAAAAGCACAACATCATCCTGAAACTTGCTTTTCAGCCTCACTTAGTTAATGTATCAGAAGTTCCCAAGGAGTTACAAATAGAGCTTATTGAGTTGTCTGAAGATAATATCCTGAAAACTGTTTAACAGCAAGAAAGATCACATTGAAATTTGGAAAAGGGCGGTAGAACATCCTGACCTTCATGAACATGCACACTGACTTATTTCATGTTTTTCTTCAACATACAAATGTAAATCCACATTCTTGTACTTGACACAAATCAAGAATTCATTGAGAACACAGTTGACAAATGAGCATTTGGAAGACCAATTAAAACTAGAAACCACCATGTTAGAACCTGATATCAACATGCTATCTCGAAAAAAGCAATGTCAAGGAAGTCAATAATTTGTCCAAAATGTGAATAAAGTATTTGTTTGAACAAGTTTTGTTTTTTAGTTTTATAATGTCTGTTTTTATTAGATTATATATTTATTAAATTCTGTTTTATGCATTAATGAATTTCAGTGTGGCCTTCATGCACAAAAATGTTCCCCATCCCTGGTCTTAACTGACGGTAGATAAGTGGTAGATATCAATAAATCTCCATTGAGAAAATATTCATACGATTCAATATTATAACTTTTTAGAGTTTAATGTACCAAGTTGAAGAATTTTTTTTTACTTGACTAACAGTTCCAACAGCAATGTTGTTAACTAATCGCAAAACTGAGTGGTGTAAGTTGTAGTTACTATGTCTCTCGGATGCTCAAATGTGACACCTTCTTTGTGAATTCCATGAAATCTCATCCCTCAAATTGTACAAATAGTAAAAAGTTATTTCTCAGTTTTTTTTTTTGTTGTACTTTCTACAAATGGAAAAAGTTTAGAAGACAATTTTCTCTTAATTTTGCTAAGAATTACAAGTTATAATCTGTGTTTAAAAATACTGCATGACATAATGATTTTAGTTATCTGCTACACTTATTGCTTTACTGCAGAAACTTAAAATTTTTTTTTATTATTTTTTGTTTAGAAAACTGACTTACAAATAGGATTCAACATGATGTGGTCTCAGGCTAAAATATACTCTGAAACCAATAGCTTTGAAAAGAAACTTTCAGTGTCAAAAGACAAACAAAGAACCAGGAAGTTAACTGAAAGCTGAAGAAATAATTTGAAAATAAATAAATGGTTTCTTGTTTATCATTGATAAATAGTTATAGCACCATGACTAAGTGGTCAGAAGTTAAAATGTTAGAACGAACATAGTATAACTTCCTAATTCAAAACATTATCTAGGTCAATTCCAAGACGTTCTCTTTTTTGTTTGTTAAATATACAAGTTTAAAGGGGGTTGTAGTTTGAATTTAATAAATATAACAAACAAGACATTACATTAATAACACTAATGGAACAGCACTGTTAATTTTTTTTATATATATATTTTTATAAGCAAATTATTTCAGTACTAAGATGAAAAGTATGCGTTATTTTACTTATTTAAAAATCATATGTATAATAGGGTAGAAAAGGAAATATTGGTAAGGGTCTTTGCTGATTTCTCACAGAGTCAATCAAAGAAGTTCATTATACTTAGACAACAGATACTGAATAATCTGTTCCAGTTGTTTACGACTCACATTATGACTTAGCTTGCCTATATTTTTAATCTTCTTTTATGCACTGTATCCCTTCAGGTCATGGGCAAACATGGCTCCCCACAACTTCTTAACCATTGTAGTGCTAAGCAATATTTGACTGTCCCACCCAGTTCCTGTTCTGCCATTCATTTACACAATCAGTTAGATATGTTACTGATTTTTTTAAAAAATCATTTCACCCCACTAGGACACAAGGGGTTACTGGAGTGAAAGAGAATGAAGACTTTAGTGACAGGAAAGGACAATAAAAGAACAGGACTGAAGAAGGTTGACATTGCACTTTAATTTTTGAAGATTGTAGGCTGTAGCAAAGAAAGAAATTGTGAGTTCCACAGGCGAGAAGTGCAAGAAAAGAAAATACTAGAATAGAACATATGGCTACAACTAGGTAGTAAAACAGTGAACCCTACTTGCCACTCTAGTAGCATGCATAAATTCATGCAGTCGATACACCAAGGAGGAAAGCTCATCAGAACAAGTGTTATGAAAATATTTGTAGCAAAGACTCAGGGAAGACATGTTGTGTTGGTGAGAAAATGGCTGAAGGATTGATTAAATTACAGACACTTCTTTGAACTTTGTCATGAATCTCAAGATATATAGTAGGTGCACCAAACCAGATATGACAGCAATATTCACTGCATGGACGAATAGTAAATTTATAAATGTGTCAGATGGATTCTGACAAGAAAAATTGTCTGGCACAACACAGTGAGCCAACTTTCCTACAAATTGATTTAATGTAATGTCTGTGTGTTTGTTTCCTTATGTCCTATGAGTGTCATAATTAAAAAAATATCTCAGTTCAAAATGTAGCATTCTGAACTTTTAGCTAACAAGGTGTGACGGGATTTTTCTTTAAATGCAAAATACTCATCACTAGCATGAAAACAAAACGGTTCATTCTTCTCTGAGAGAGAGAGAGAGAGCTTTTAAAAAGTACAAAAGATTTATTTTTTCGTGTATTTAGAGTTCTCATTGGTTAGTCACATTTACCATTTTCTCAAATTTCTTTCCATTGTATTCATGATAAAAATAAAAACAGTTACTAGAACTTGCTCAAAGCCAAACCAAAAGCATTGGGAGTGGATTTTCCACTTTCTCCGAGGGCAACATAGATTTTTTTTTAAAATTATATCCCACCACCCTGTGTACATGGGGGTAGGTCCAGACTCCAGAAATTGCTCATGCTTCCTCGGCTCTTTCCTTTGGCATTCGATAAACTATGACGCTACGTCTTTGAGTGAAATGAGGAAGTGCTGCCGGGGCAGTGATGGCCTTTTGGAGCAGAGTTATATTTTTTTATTATTATTATTACCTCGACCACGAATGAACAAGAATAGTACTATAGAAGTCGGACCGTATCAAGTACTACTGTAAAATGATAACATTTATAATCATCCGGAATGGCAGGCAAAAAGAGATTTTTTTTCAAGCTGATGCCATATCTACTTCCGGTTGACAAACGCAAAAGTCGGAAACTCCTTTACATACCCTGTACAATACAGTGTAAAGGTGCGGAACTGTCAAACTAATAAATAATAGTTTCGGAAATACCAGGTTGACTTAAAAGATCGCAGAAAAAAATAACTAAACTTTAATTATAGACTAACTATTTTTCTTTTTAATTATATGACTTTGGGTTTTTAGTCGTTGTTGCTACTTCTGGTCAGTGGGGTGGTCTAAATGTTACTTATCAGTTTCTAAGCAACGTTACAAAAATTTTAACACGAGCTAGCACAAACCACTCGGAGTTAAATTTTTGTTGCTTAAAAATATTGATTTTTTTTTTTAAATGTTTAGTGTTTATTATTGAAGTTAAAAGGAAGCGACATAATACATTTATTGTTCACTCGCTAATAAAACACTACGCATGATGAGAACACAAACATTTAATTTGTTTAGGAAAAGAAAGACTAAAAGAAAAAAAAAAAATGAAGGAAAAAAAAACAAAAAAACAAAAAACTTCTAATTATTTTATAAATCATCCAAAGAAAATATCTTTGTAAGTAGAAAGTAAACTAAAGAAACACCCAACAAAACAAAAAGAACCACACTCCGTAACATAGCCAAGGAAACAAAAATCAAACTGATAATTTTTTTTCCTCTTTTACTGAACGCCAAAACGAAAAATCTAAATAAAAACTAAAAAATAAAAATGCTTTGATTGGTATCATAAAAAAAGATCGATTAGGATTCAAGAAGAATTAAATCAATAATCAATCTCATGTATAAACAAAAATAAAATACACTATTTAGTATTTAATAAGTTTAAGTGTTTATAGTTGGTTCAATTATCGATTGTTACAGTGGTTGATTCAATTGTATTGTAACTTAAATTTTAAAACGAACAAGAAGAATAATTAAATAGATAACAAAATAACGCATTATTATGGGTTTTTAAAATGTGACACTGAGTGAAATGAAATTTCAGACAAACAAAAAAGGTGTAAGTAAAGAATCTGAAAAAAAGTAAAAATAAAAACAGTTTTTTTTTGTTTTTTTTTTAATGAAAGAAGAATTTAAAGATAAAATAAAAAATGTATGGTCGGTAAGTATATATGCCATTATTAAAGGAAATATTGACGTGAGGCAAAATAGTGAATGTGTCCTACTCAATACGAAAAAGTAGCCTTAGGGTCGTATTGCCTTTTTTTTTTTTTAGTTTTTTTGTCAATGGCCTTAGTAGTGAAAATTAATATCCCAACAAAAATAGTTAAAAAAGCAAATGATTGTTTTTCTGTGCAATGCGAAATAAGTGAAATAAAATATAAAACGGACAAGAGACTGAAAATGCTTCAAAAAAAGATCCAACCAATAGTCCAATGATGAATGAATAGCGGAAAAAAACAGAAAGAAAACACACAATATAAATCCGAAATAAGGAAACAGTCAAACTTCCTAAAAAGAAAACAGAAGAATGTGTATCATAGATTTTAGAAATATTGTAGGAACTATTTCAGATCAAGCGAATCAATCTAAAATTAAAACTAATAAAGTTAAAAAAAAACAAGTAAATATTTTTTTCCTAGAAAAACCAAAACAAAAAACGTAAGTGTTATCGTCGATAACTTATAGAAATGAAATGTAAAGAGAGGCTGAATCTTCAAATAAAGACGTTAGGTTAATTAAAACTTACTTACCCCGGACATATTAATTTCTTTGATGACATATTTAATATTAGTCCTTTTGTGTCGAACAAGAATTACTTTACCAAAGGAGCCTTCACCAATCCGACGAATTTTAACGTATTTGTCCATCTAGATAGCATTAATTCTTCTCTTGACAGAGTAGCATAACGAAACCGCGAGGGTTTTGTTAAATCTGGAACGAGGAACCTGTAACATTTAGTTTGAGATTAATTTTCTTTTACCTCTCACACACATTATTTCACACTTTTCCCTAGAAAAGATATATATTTCTTAAATATATGTGGTTTGCTTTATTTTGCTGTGTTAAACGAATATTGACACCAATTTCTACACAATATTTTCGTTTTATCGTTAGTTATGGAGAGAAATGAAACAATTAATTTTTAATTTGTGTATATATTACAAATTACATGTTTTTATTAACACTGAAAATATTTGAAAATGATAAATCCTTTAACGATTTTCTTTGTTTTGCATTTGTGTTTTTAGTTAAATATCAAATAATAATATACATTACGCACGGTCTACTTGTGCCGGTTCCTATTTTTCATGAGAACCACTCGTTTACATAGCGATCATCAAAAAATAAACTTTCTTATTTCTGCCTTAGTTTATTCGAGATTATAAACAAAAGTAGTTAAGTTTTACTAATGGACATTAGTTTACACTTTCATCATAGGAGAAAAATGATAATTGTTTGTATTCTGTAGTAATTATAAATTACTCGGGTATGTTTGTTGTTATGGCAACCAAATACGGTCACGTGGCTGCGCGCTAAGGTTCAAACCGCAAGATTGGATTCACTACATCCCCAAGTGGCAAGATGATGTGTGTGTGTGTAAACTAGCACAGTAGTTAATTAAATGAAAATAAAAATAATAGCTATTAAAAGAAAAGTAGCCTTTTTAAAAAGTATGGAAGACTAAAGAAAGATATTGTTGCAAGTTAACATTTCAAACAAAAATCTCATATGTGGACAAAAAAAAACTTGATTAAAAAATTAAAAAAAAAGTTTTAATATAAAAAAAAATAACATTTTTATTATTTTTGTGGTTTACATATGCCAAATAAAAATCTTAATTTAGTACTGTCATTTTAATTAATTTGATTTAAAATAAGTGAAAACATTTTTTACATTATGTTTTCATGAAAATAAATATTCCTGTTTTTTATTTTTATTTTTTTGAGAAAGATAAAAAAAAAAATCCTAGAAGCCACGCATTAATTAAAAAGTCCGGTAAATTTTCAGTTTTACAGTCCAGAATTTTAGAACATTTTCATGTTACGAAAGCAATTTTTTTTGCTTTAATTAATTTTTAACTAATTTTGTTTGTATTTCGAAAATTAAGAGAAATATTCCAAGAAAACAAATTTTAAAATGAATATCTACTTCTTACTTAATCTTAATTTGGCTTGCAAATTCCCCCTACCCACAAAAAATGATCTTTAACTATTTTTCTTGGCATATGTCCAGATAGATTTGTAATGTCATTTATTGCGTGTCTATTATATTCAGCTGACAATATTTGGCACAGTTTGTACCAAGCTGTTTATAAATAAATTTAACAGGCTTACTTGAAAATATTATTCTATTGTATTAGAAAAGTATCCAATAAGTACAAATTAAGTCACATAATAAATTATTTTGAGTCTGGTGAAAAAGAGTATAGCTTACAAGTAGTGGAATCTGAATTTTTAATATGTCTACCTTGACTGAGCTTATTTAGAATTTATGCACAGCAGAAAGAATATCAAAACCAACATCAAAGAAGTTTAGTATTTTTAATCTGAATTTTCCTTGTTTTTCAAAGATTTAAATTATAATCCTATTCTAGCAATAACATTTGTGTTAATTCTTGAATAATGAAAAGCCCTTTCTTCCTATTTTCAATAGTAAAATCTATAGCCCCATTCAGTCAGTTATTTGTGATTAGGTTATATATGGAAGTAAATCTAGACAGAAAACCAGAAATGAAGCCCAGAAGGTGGTTGGCTGTCAACACTGACAACTTTCTGGAAACTCCTGTCGCCAAACCATCACTAAATGTAATGCCTAATATTCTTTTGGTTCTTGGTACAACCGGGAGGTGGAGCATGTGTTCTGGGCAGCACACAGTCTCTATATACCATTGTCCAGATCAGCTCTCTGGATAGGACATTCCAGTTTCACTGCCAAAGTACTGAATTTTAACCACCTTTATCTCATGAGATAAATGAATCCCTGCTACTATTCAGTCAATAATGTTTGCTGTAATTCTTAACTACTAACAATCTCTTTTTTTCTGATTTTAAAGCATTTCTAGAATAAAATGATTAGTAATGAATTAATATTCTAAATAATGCTCTTCTGAGAATAAAGTTTTCATTGATTTCTGACTCAACAATTTCTTTCAGTTTTTCAATTTATGTCTATAGTAAAATAATTATAAATGCCTTTACATTGTGGGGTATTCACTCACATCATAGGAGTAGTGGTGGTAGAATTTTAGGCTTGTTTTTATGAAGATAAAAACAGGGAAAATAAATGTACACAATACAGAGAAGGCATGACAAATTGTATGATAATTTCATACATGAAATTGACTATATGCTAAATGACTGTTATAAAATAAAATAAGACATATCTCGGCTGATTTACAGGCAAATACTCAAGAGCGAGAACCGGATGTGAACGGGACAAAGCCCCGTCACAAAATGACCATTATCTTTCTTTACAAATGTTCCCGACACACGTGTTCCAGTCGAAAAATAAAATAATATTTAGAGTGATCTATTTTTCGTCCAATAAAAACGTTTCCCTCCTGATTATACTCACTTCGTTTTTCGAGCCATAAAAAAACGCTATAAAAGGGGTCACACGGAAGTTCAACAGGCAGTCCACAGGTGCCCAGGAGAGAGACCTGTCACATTCAGCTGCTGACAGCAGGGGAGCGTCAACCACCGTCAACATGTATGAACTACTATGAGAGATTGACCTGATCCGAAGCCGGCTTATGAACTTTACCACAAGGTAGCTGTCCCAAACCCACACATTCCTGTTGAAATAAACCACGTAAATCTATTTCTGCTGTTGTCGTATTTCTTTCTTGCAACCATACGCTTTTCTATAACATGACCAAATATCAGAATTTTTTTAAATTATTTTTTGGTCAGGCTTAAAACTTTTCAGCACTCATTATATGCATTACTGTCAGAAAATGCTGAGTCATTATATATATAATTATTAGAGTGAAATAACAGTTTTGATGTATTTCATGTAACCATTGGTGAACATAGAAATATTGTGTTCTGCCCTGAGTGGAAAGTTGAGGAGATGGGAGCATTTATTGAATTAGTATAATGAAATAACATGTAGTAATTAAGTATATGTTCTCCACAGTGGAGTAATGGATAGCAGCTCAGAAGAAGCACGGTGGAGTAATGGATAGTGGCTCAGATTGTGGAATTGGAGAGCTGAGTTCAAATTCTAGTTGAATCCATTACATTCACTTATTTGCTAATACCCTTGGGAAAGGCATGAATCCTCTTCTTCCCCCAGCTATGGGTAAATAGCTCGTTAGACATGTATTGAAATCAGCTATGGGTTAATTAGTAAGACTTGTATCACTAAATCATTATACCTCCTCCTCCAAAAAAAAAATTCTTACAATCTAAAACTATTTTCTGGCTTTAAATAGCCTGTAATTGGTTGATAAGCCATAGAAAACAAATCAATCAACTGGCTACAAGTATTGGGGAGAATTTCATTGCTGCCTCTGTGACAAGACAAGCCAAATGTGATTAATATTTACAGAATAATTAACAGAAAAAGGAAATCATATTTTAAATGCTGGCTGATCTATTAATGAATTAATGTTTTTTTTTGTTATCCCCTTTTGTAATAAAAGAGGAAATGGAGATATTGAGGTTCTTCTTGTGTGTTTTTAATGGAGCAATTTATTTAATTCACTTATTACAGGCTAGGCTCATTGAAAGCTTACCCCTCCCTCCCGCCATTAGCCACATATTTTGGGAACCAAATCATTTCTGGGAACATCTGTTGGGACTCAAGCTCACACCAAACCTTGATTAGAAATGATATATATGATCAATTGCTAAAGATGCTAGAAAAATGATTGGTTTCTTCTACCACTACATAATATCTGACTTCTCCTGCTATTCTCTATCTTTACAAGAGTCAGGCCAGACCGAAAATGGAATATTGCTACCATATCTGAGCTGGAGCTGCCCAATCCTCATTTTCCAACCTCAAAAGAGTTTGAAATTGTTTGTGTTGCCTTGTTGGTGATAAATTGTTTTCCACCTTGCAACTCCTTTCTTATAAATGAAATGTTGCTAGCCTCTTGCTATTATATTACTATTTTCATGGCAGATGTTTAGGTGAAGTACATTTCTTGGCTCCACCAGTACAGACTTTCACAGCTAGGACCTGACATACCATATACACTGAATCAACTCATTCTCATTCTCTTCATATTCCATTGGTGATAGGAAAGGTTCACTCAACTGTTATCTATCCTACATATCCTTATAATATGCACCTCTTTCTACCTCCCTGTACACCTTTACAGTGATGTCATTTAGTGACCCTCTACCCTGAGTGGCTCTTGGGCCTTGTATTAGATGAACAATAGTAAAAAACAACAAAAAATAAAACACAAGACATATTAATAATAATAAAAGTTGGCTATAATAGTTGCCAGAAGGAATTCAAAATTGTCATCCTATCAAACACTTCTAAGAGTTCTATTCCTGATTTGAATTGGTTTTCTACTAGACTGGTTGCCAACTAAGACTATACAGTTCAGTCTTCCCTGCTATTTTACCTATAACTGGTAGGTAAAGGAATGGACATGCATTTCCCAAGGGATTTAGTATGAAACTGTCTTAGCAGGAATGTGAACTCAATTTACCAATTCCATTTTTCCTAATGTCAATTATTAGGCTATCCCACACATCTTATACACTTATTTGAAAAATACCATTGTCTTTAACATTTAACAGTTTTATTAATGACAGTATTTCTTATAGTAGTTTCTTCTTTTCTTTTGGCCTTTCTCTATTTGACTTATGCTTACATTTTGTAATGTCCTATCTTAAGAAAAAGC